ATTCAGTGAGATAAGCCAGGCTCAGACAAATGGCACAGGTTCCCTCTGATATGCAGAAATTAGATCTAAAATGCACCGGAATAGGATAAATTATGCAGAATTCTAGATACACACAGTGAGGATACTCTTAGGCATTGAGCCTTTGTATTTCTCTCCTAAGCACCTCTTCACATTTATATAAAATAATATGCATATTTCATGAAATGAACTCCAAGATATGGAAACAAAAGACTTCTCTTTTTTTTTAGCTTTTAGTTCTTGTTGATTCTGGCTTCTTTAGGAGAGTTGGAGGAGGGTACAGAACTCGAGGGGAAAAAGTGCAGCAGTGGAGCTCACTGGACACTGCTGAAAGTGAACTGTACAACTTGTGGGTGGAGATGGGAAGGAGGGACCCAGAAAGAATAAGGGAACATTGGACGCTGTACGAAAGGACATGTACTTCAAATCTGACTTGTGTAATTGTAATGCCTCTGTACATCACCTCTATAATAACAATAATGCAATAAAAAAGAATCATATGACATAAAAATACGATAATTTGACTGTCTTCATTACTACTTGTGTCTTTTACTTCTCTTGCTTAATTGCTCTGGTTGAAACTTAAGTGGACATGTGTGTCTTGCTCCTGATCTCAGAAGAAATGCTTTCATTTTTTTTTTTAACTACAGTATGATTTTGGCTATTAGTTTGTCATATTTTAAAGTAGGGTCTTTTATTCAGTGCTTTTGTTATGAAGGGAAATTTAATTTTATCAAATGTATTTTCTACATTTGAGATCATCAAGTGATTTCACCCTTCATTTTGTCAGGTGATGTTTTATGTCTATTGATTTGTATATGTTGAACCATCCTTGTATCCACGGTATGAAACCAACTTAATATGTTTTGAGGCACTGCTGAATTTATTGCTAGTTTTTTTTGGTGCTGGTCCTAGGGCTTGAATTCAGGGTCTGGGTGCTAACCCTATTTTCATCAAGGCTAGTGCTCTACCACTTGAGCGACAGCTCCACTTCCAGCTCTGGGGTGGAGAAAAGAATCTCATGGACTTTCCTGCCGAGGCTGGCTTTCAACTGCCATACTCAGATCTCTGTCTCCTGAGTACCTGGGATAACAGGCGTGAGTTATTGGCACCAAGCCTTTTATTTATTTTTTTAGACCAGTGAACATAGTGCATGGTAATCTATGTTTGCCCTGACCTTGAGGGCTTAAGTGATCCTCTCGCTTAGCTTCTCAAGTAGCTGAGATTATATGCATGTATTCCCATGTCTGGGCTTTGTGCTAGTGCTTTACTGAATCTTTGCATCTATATTTGTCAGGCATATTGGTCAAAAATTTCTTTTTGTTGTATTCTTGTATGGTTTGGGAATGGAATAATACTAGTTTCATAGGATGGATTTGGAAGGATCACTCCCAGTCACTTCTGTGGAAAAGTCTAAGAAGGATTGGTAATACTGTAAGTTTGATAAAATTCAGCAGTAAAGTCAGTGATTTTGATTTTCCTTTTTAAAAAAATTACCAATATAGTGTAATTGGGATTGATGCATTCAGAACCTTTTATATTCTTATTGTTTAGTTTTGATAGCTTATTTTGCCCAGAAATTTGTTTATATCTCCCAGGTTTTCCAACTTATTAGCATCTACAATGTTTCTTTGTATTTCTTTGATATTTGTTATATTTGATATTCTGATTATTTGGGTCTTATCTATTTTTCCTGGTTAGTGAATTTTTATCTTAAAAAAAGAACCAACCCTTTTATTTTACTGTTGTTTTTCATAGTTTCTATATCATGTATTTCTACTCTGATCTTAGTTTATGTTTTCATTTTAATTTTGGGATTGGTTTGTTCTTGCTTCTAAATTTTTGATGTATCAGGTTGATTATTTGAAGTATTTATCTTTTTTGATCTAGGTATTTATTGCTATAAGTTCCTTTTTAGTACTATTTTTCTGCATTCTACAACTTTTGATAAAAGTGCTTCTTTTGTCCTTTGTTTCTTATATTTGCATGACCCACTTTTCATTCAAAAGTGTGGAGCCTCATATTTATAATTTATAAAATTTATTTTGTTCACTTCCAGTTTTAACTCATTGTACAATCAGAACATATAGGGGATTTGATTTCATATTTTTGAATTTGTTAGAACCCAATTTGTGCCTAAAATGTAGTCTTTTCTAGATAAAGTTTCATATGCTGATGAAAAGAATGTATATTCAGCAGTTTTTGCATGGAATATTCTGTAAACTCTATTTGATTTAAAATATAGCTTAATACTGATATTTTTTATTTTTGCCCCTCTGCATGGTCTTGTATTGATAAAGTAGTGGTGTTTATTCTAGAGCGGATAAATAAGCTTTCACTTGATTTTTTTTTTGTTTGACTTATTGAAGTCTTCATTTTCTAAATTTCTGTTTTTTTTCCAGAATATCTGCTGAATTTCTCCCTTATATGCCTAATTTCATTTTACTGTTTATCAGTACTCTGGCATCTCAATAAGATTTGTATTATTCTTTTTTCTTTTTCTTTTTTGTAGGTCATGGGGCTTGAACTCTGGGCTTGGGCGCTGTCCCTGCGCTCTTCAGCTCAAGGCGAGTGCTCTACCGCATGAGCCACAGAGCCACTTCTGGTTTTCAAGTGGTTTATTGGAGATAAGAGTCTCATGGACTTTTCTGCTCGGGCTGGCTTTGAACCGTGATCCTCAGATCTCAGCCTCCTGAGTAGCTAGGATTACAGGCGTGAGCCACTGGTGCCCAGCTGAGATTTGTATTATTCTTTCAAAACTTTTATGATTCATTTTCATTTTAGGGAAGATCTGGTGCTAAAGAATTATTATGTTCTTTTGGAAGCATGGTATTACTTTGGTTTTTCATATTTCTTGTTCTCTTATGTTGAGGTATGCACATCTGAAAGACAAGGTATCTCTACCAGTACTACAGGGTGGCTTTCCTAAGCAGCATTTTCCTGAAGAGGGCCTTGGGTGTGCAATGTTGGCTTTCATTTTAAGAAGGCAACTTAGTGTAGCCTCCCTAGAGCTTCTGTTGCTGTGATTCAAGCTTGTGGGCACAGCGTGTACAATGGAGTCACATTTGTTGCTGTAGGCCACACTAGAGTGGGGAGATGATATCAGTCCAAGTAGGTGTGGGGCAGGTAACAATGTGTATGGGAGGCTCACTGTGTCTGCTTGCTACACGAGGAATAGTGGTCTCTGTTAGTGATGCCAGTTCCATTACTAGCCACTGTCTCTGCCTTTGGTTGCCCCTGTAGTGGTGAGGAGTTGGATGCACTTGTCTTCTGACCAATTATTGGTCTGGGTCTGTTGGTGGCTGAGCAGCCCCCCTCCTCCCCTTGCGGTACCCACAGCCAGCAATGAAGAGCAGTGTTACAGTGCAGCAGGGGGAAGTTCCTCTCCTCTGCTTTAGTGGTAGTGCCTGCCCTGCCCAGGAATAGGACATTTGCAAGGGCAAGCCAAAGTTCCTCTGGAGGGAATGGAGGCCCTTTGGCATGTGTGTCCTTTAGGTGAGGGAACAGAGGAGGCTCTTCTCACCTCTCTACTCCTGACCAGGAGGGAAGAAGTAGGATGGAACAGGGCCAGTGCAAGTTGTTCTTCCTATTCCCCAGCCACTCCTGCACAGGGGCCTCATAACAGCTGACACCACCGAACTGTTCAGGGCCCCTCAGTATGGAGCAGCAGTGGGAGCTGTGGTGTTCCCCACTTCTGTACGATCTATATGTCTAAACACCAGTTCTCACACTGCAGGACATCCTATAGGTTTGGGTCACAATCACTCTGTTGGGCCAAGTTGGGTTAGCTCCCCTCCCTGAAACCAGTGCAGGGGAAGGTCAGTGAGGTCTCAGACATGGAAATATGGTGGGCTATCCAATGCCTTGGTCAGTCCAAATTCACACAACAGTCCACATCCCTGGATGGATCCTGACTATCGTACCCTGGAGGTTCTCTGGGAGAGAGCCAGGCTATGGTGCTGACTTCAGGTTATTTATCCAATTGGGCTGCAATCATTTGAAGAGTTAGGATTTTTTTTTTCTATTAGCTGGAACCCCAGAATCTACACAGCTAGAGTTTACTGGAAAGTTCTTTCACCCTTACCACTACAAGGGTAAGACTCTCATTGGCTAAATGTGGAGCTGCAGGTGCTGTGCTGTTTTATTTTCTTTCTATGATATTGTCCCAGGTCTCTGAATCTCACAAGGTTCCCCCCTTTCTCTTGCTGATTTTCAGTATTTGCACCTCAAAATGTAGCTTTATACCTGTTACTTTCGTTCTTTGTGAAGGAGATAAGTGCTCTCGTTCAGCCCTCATTTCCTCTCAGCAAAATTTCTTGTGAAAAATTTTACATCAGTATATCAAAAGGGGAAAAGGGTCCCATCAAATCATTTCACTCCAACTGATACTTTCTCATATAAAACTGGTATATGTCTTTATGGGGGATAGGATTTCTCTGTAGACAGATCTTAAAGCCACATTCAAGTATCATCTGATTCTATTCTCAAACATTTCCTTTTTTCACGTTTCTGAAATTGTCAGGAAAAAGTGAGAGTATCAATGCTTCTTCTAAGTCAGAACTTTTTTTTTTTTGCCAACAACAGACTAGACAACCATCCTCCTCTACATTCCTCTCCACAATGTGAAGTGTTCAAAAGAAAAGTTCATATTTTCCACCGTCTAGACCACCCACAACAACAAATTTTAATTTTACTTACAAGGGTCTTAGCATGTCAAGGACAAGGTGAGCTCCATAAAGCTCAGGCTGTCTTAAGGTTTGTGGAACTACTCCATGTTCCCGCCCCAAGTCAGCCAAAATACTTTAGTGGGATCAAAAATGAATGATATTGTTCTAAAGTGATTCTCTGCATGGATATCTTAAAAGAAATATTTAATTCAATTTCACAACTGCAATCAGAAAATAATAATGACAAAAAAACCAACCTGTCGATTGCCACCTAGAAGCCTTCTTTAGGGGGGTTGTAAAAAATTGCAAACGTACCCTCTCAGCTACAAATCTCACAGACTGCACACTAGTTCCATATAAATTGTCATTGTACTGCCCAGCTTCTATAAATTTGTGCTCTTGGATATCTTTCTCCATTTGTTCTCTGGAGATGACAAAGTGATAGTCTCTCCCGTCCACCTCGTAGTCACGCTTTGGCCTTGTAGTATCTGTAAAATGAGAAATAATGAAATGCATCTCACAAGCTTTTCTTCCTACTTCATTTCTTTACCACACTCCCAACACAGATATAGTAGTAACATGTGCCAGTCTTATCTTCCCACATAAATGACTATAAATAGGGACAAAACAGGAAGAACAATTCTTGCTCAGGTATCAGAATGCAGGGCATAGCTGTAACTTTGTTTAGGATTCTTGAGATGAGGTCTCACTATTAGCCCAAGCTGGCCTGAAACTTACAAACTGTGCTGGGATTCTAAGCATGCATCACCTATATATAGCTATGTATAAATAGCTATATGTGTGTGTGTGTGTGTGTGTGTGTGTGTGTGTGTGTGTGTGTGTATGTGTGTGTGTATGTCATAGGGTTTGAACTCAGGGTCTGGGCGCTGTCCCTGGACTTTTCTGCTCAAGGCTAGTGCTCTACCATTTTGAGCCACAGTGCCACTTCCTGTTTTCTGGTAGTTAATTGGGGATAACAGTCTCACTGCCCAGGCTGGCTTCCAATGGTGATCCTGAGAGCTAAGCCTCCTGAGTTGCTAGGATTACAGGCATGAGCCACCAACACCTAATTCATAGCTATAATTTTAAGAGAAAACAAACGGGGGGGGGGGATTCTGCTACATTAATCTTTCTACCTAGGAGATATTTACAAATAGAGAATCTAGAGGTTACACAGTATTAGGAAACATTGGTGTTTAGCCAGAATAAGGCATTTTATTAAGATTCCGGAAAGACCCCATTTTAGAAGCTACTTTGGACTTAACTCTGCATTCATCTGTAAAGAGTCTTAAGACCAAATCACAATTTAATCAAGTTAGTCTGTCAGTAAATCATTGCTTATTAGGATAAACATATTCTACGAAGGAAGATAATCTAGACTCTAAATGCATAGTGGTTCATGCTTGAAAATCCTAGCATTGGGGAGATGGAGGCAAGAGGTTTGTGAGTTCAAGGTCAGCCTAAGTTATATAGTGAGATCTTATCTCAACACTCTACATCTATCTATCTATCTATCTATCTATCACTATAGTGTTTAGGTGTTTTGCACAATATAAAAAAAGAAGAAAACAAAAAAAGACAATGCTACACAATCAGGAGAAAGAATGTGTATACAATTTATAAATATATTTATGTGCTTAAAAATAAGTACAGTATTTTACTTATTTAGAGTGAAATACTTCCAATATAAAAAAATTCATGTAAATGTATGGTTAAGAAGAGAAGGAGAGCTGGGTGCCAGTGGCTCACGCCTGTAATTTTAGCTACTCAGGAGGTTGAGATCTGAGGATCATGGTTCAAAGCCAGCCCAGGAAAGAGCATCTGTGAGACTCTTACCTCTAATTAACCAACAGAAAACTGGAGTGGCACTGTGGCTCAAGTGGTAGAGCTCTAACCTGGAGCTGAAGAGCTGAGGAACAGTGCCCAGGCCCAGCGTTCAAGCCCCATTACTAACCAAAAAAAAAAAAAAAAAAAAAAAACAGAAAGAAAAGAAAAGAGAAGGGGAATGTAGTCTAGCAATATGACTGGAAAAAGTTAAAATATTTCTGATCTCCCATTCAGTTGCTTCTTAAGATATCTGAAAATGACCACATCTCCAGATATTTTTATCTCAGATGTTTATTCTATTTATAAGAGGAAATTATAACATGACTAAGTTTAGAACTCATAGTAATAAGAATAGTAAATATCCAAAATACCTATGTAGATGAAGAGTGATTAGTTATAATTATTTAAAACAGCAAAAATTTTAAGTGTTAAGAAAAAAATCAGTCACCTTGAAAAAACATATGCATTGGAAGTAAGTAGATGGAAAGCAACAAAATAATATTTCTGTGATGTTATTTCTGGGTCTTGTGTAGGATTCTGTGTACTTTCCAATTTCTTGTTTAACTATGAGCATGTATTGATTACATAAAATAGTACTATTAATTAAAAAAAGAAAAAGGAAAGAACAGGCAAGATGGAAGGGAAAGGGGGAACAATGGTTAAACATTTTGTTTTCTTTAATAAGTGAAAAACCAAACTAGAAGCTCTTTGTAAACCAGGTTATGCATATTTAATTTGCACCTTCTTATGTACAGAATATGTTCTATGTCAGGACCTTTTCCTAGAGTCCTTGTGGGGACTACACCATTATCTGAGCCATCATTCCAATCATCTTATCCATGTACCACACAAATAATTCCTGCTATTCTTTAGAAGTCTACATTGAAATTTGTAGTATTGAAATATTACAGACATCTGAAACTATAAACCTTAAACATATTCAGTGTGAGAAACATTTGTCAGATTTAAGAGTTCATTATGAACATGAGGCAGCTTCCCGGAGAGCTTGTCTCAGTATATAGGTGGGCTCTGTGCATGCCTGAGGTTAGTAAGTGAAGGGGGCTGGTGGTGACGGCAGGGAGAAAGGGACAACAGACAGAATCTTACGGTGCTATCTAAGAGGACACAGATGACGGGGACCTGATGCTTGTCTATAGGGACCTAGAGAGTAAAGTTTCATACATATCCTCTCCTCCTCCCATGACCCTCTACTTCCATTTCTAGTGGTTCATTGGAGATAAGAGTCTCACAGAGTTTCCTGCCCTGGCTGGTTTCAAACTGCTCTCCTCAGATCTCATCCTCCTGAGTAGCTAGGATTACAGGTGTGAGCTACCAGTGCCTGGCTGATGTGTAGCATTTCTGATCTCTCCCACTCGATGGCAAAAGATGCTTTGCTGTAGGGCCATGCTGATGCCTTTTATAAATCTCACAACTGTCTGAAGTGTTAGGGAGTTCTGTCTTCTAGGGGACTACAATCAGTTCAGAGAAAACCTTATTATACTTAGCAAATACCGAACCATCTGTGACAGCATAAACAAAAAGTATGAGGCTGAACAATTACATAAGGTACTGAGATAATAACTAGTAGTATTTGAAGCAGCAGAAATTCCATTTTTATCATCTCATCATGGAGTCAAGCTTTTCTCTAAAGGAAAAAAAAATGATACTTACGAGGCACACAGGAGCCAAATTTGTCAGGGAATTCAGATATCAAGTCATCGTTGATTCGATCCTTCATGGGGCCCAGAATAATCACTGGCCGAGTATAGTTTACTGTGAATACAGAAAAAATGGTGCGGCTGAGGGAGAGGGACTTGGAAACAACTTCTATACTGCCTAGCAAGGATGGTTCTTAAAAAAATATCTGTAAGCAGTTGTACTCTGGGGTTTCAATTCAACATGTCAGTTTATGTGCAGGATGTATCTTGGTCTGTTACCTCTTCCATCATTCTCTCATGTCTCCCAACCTCACCCATCCCCTCAAGTTAACTGGCTCCATTTTCATGTATGTACATTGAGTCTGATGACTGTATTCACCCACCCTTCCTCTCTCCATTTGTACCCTATTCCTTGCAAGGGTGGTTCTGAAGGACAGATCACCAAGCAGTAAGAACATACCCCTGTAGGCCTGAAATGGGCCTTTTAAACCTGGGGATGTGGACTTGCTACTTCCTGAAATGTACTAACGGGAAGAGCAACTTCAGCCTCTGTCAAAAGTCCCAGGTGGTGGTGTTTCCCTCATTGCCAGGCTGTGCCTGCACTATGTCAAAAACCCTGACTTTAGTCAACTAAGTGGGCACAAGAAATTCAATCCAGCTGTTTGGCCATGTTTAAAAGTAATCCTTAGTGGTAAAGACACTTTAAAAAAATAATTTCTTTCCCTCAGCTCAAAATAATGTCTTTGTTAGGATTTTTCTTTATGTCTGGGATTAGGAGTAAATTTAGCTCCTTTGGTACAACTTCCCATCTGATGCTTGAAGTTTTTTCTGTAATCTCCCTGTCAGTAGCCCTCAAGCCTCCATTATAAATGAGGTAGAGAAGCTATGGGTCCTAGAGCGCCTACGAGTGGCCTGTATCTCACATCTACTAGAAAATCTTTCTCAATCCTGGGCTGCTAGTAATTTCCCGGGATATTTTTTCTTTATCAGTCCTCCAGCTAGGCCATTCGGTAATGAGGGTGTCTTCTTTCCCATCGAGCCCACCCCACTGTAACTCTGTTCCATCCTCTTTGGAGTTGCTCAGCAGAAAAATTGTCTGGTGATAGGGTCAGAGAGCGAGACAGCAGGGTATGGTCTCAATACACCTGAGCAACAAGCTGAGTTTATTTCCTTAGTCTTTCATGCTTCCCCTCCCTGAATAGTATCACCTGGGTTTTGACCTGACAATAAAAAACCCGAGTATGCTGAGAAACTTACTTTCCTGCCTTGTGACAGGCTCATAGGAAAGAATGAGGTCTTCTTGTCCTCCTAGGAAGAAAAGAAAAGAAAATTACAGTCGACTAACAACCCGTCAGTAGCTACAGCTATCATTCCTGCTCTGAAACATAGGAAACAGGCACAGGTCAGGGTTAACTTTCCTTGCTGTCTCCTTGAACCATTCAAAAAAAATCCCTTCATAAAACTCTCCAGCACTATTTTGGTGTCAAGTGATCACATACTCATAGCTGTAGGTAATAACTGGCTGCCACTCTCTGTACAGAGCAGTGATCTGTGGGACTGGCTTTCTATCTGATGCCAGAAATGGAGTGCCATGCCTCTATGCCACACATTATCACCTAAAGTCAAGTCATTTGGTGCAAAGAAAGGCTCCACTGGACACTTCCTTGCTATCTAATCAGAATTTCTGTCTTTTGATTTTATTTCTCTAAGAAGTAGGCACTTAATTTTGACAATCACATTCCTCAGAATATATTACAGGATACTAGGAGATTTCCTGTAATATTGAATCATCAAGGAAATGCTGTAGGTCAGTGAAAGAAGATTAAAACTTGAGAGGAGGCTGAGGTCGTGGCTCAAAGGCACACCACGTGCTCAGCATGTGTGAGAACCAGGGTTCAACTTGTAGTACCCACCTCTTACCAAAAATGTAGAGGAGTTCCCTGCATCATTAGTTATTGTTGATAAGCCATGCCTCGAAACTTCAGAGAGAGAGAGAAAGAGAGAGAGAGAGAGAGAGAGAGAGAGAGAGAGAACTAAGGAAGACACTGTGGAGAAAATGTCCATTCCCTCCATCCTATTTGCTGTACATCTTCTGCTTCAGGGTAGGCCTCAAGCCAACACATAACTGCGGAGAGTACATTGCACTTTGACAATTATTCTTTCAATCCTCTATTTTATCCACTTGATTAACTAATTGGTCATAGGATTGCCTCAGTTTAGTGGCAAACCCTGAAGCCTCTGTTCCTGTATTTGCTTTAGGTTTAGTGTTTATTGACTACTCTCTGGTATAAAAAAATAGGTTAAGGTTGTTGAAAATGATGTCCTATCTGTTAATAAGGTGGGAGGAAACCAAATGACAATTGCATTTCTTTTGCTCATCATTGAAGAATACATTTTTTTACTCTGTCAATGAGGGATGCTTCCTTATGGCACCAGGACAGGGAAAACAAGTTAATTTCATAACTGATCAAAAAATGTTCAGAAGACCTTCCCCTTTCCAAGCAGGGGTTTTGTCTGTGCTGAGCTAGTTCAATTGTATTCAGGAAGAGAATGATTTCTTCTGAATAAACTACTGAAAAAATTAGTGATTGATTTTAAGCCTCTTGTGATCTAAAGATGGAGATATGTAGAACTCATAAGCTATTCAACTCTTAGGGAGAAAGTATAGTTTTAGGAATAGATGTGTGGTAGGCCATGAGAGAAGAATCCTGATCACAGAATAGCAAAACCTTCAAGGTTAGGTGATATCTGAATCTATTCTATAGAGGCAAAGGCCAAGTTTTATTCATCCGTGTCCCCGGTGCTCTGTCAAGTGCTTAATGTAAAGATGTCAATTAATTCACATTTTGATTTCATTCATGAAAAACGGGATGAGTAACAAGGCCAGTGACAGGTTCTGCTCTGTATCATAGAGATCATTTCATCTTGGGAAATATAGTTCTCTCTACATAAATGTTCCTGCTTCAGTATGAATCTCTTTCCAGTAGTCCTGGAAATCATTCTGATGGGATGTTCTAAAGGAAATCCTTAAGTTTGAGAAAAGTCAGGGTAAAACATAGTCTTTAATTTTGTGAGTCCGTAGCTTTATGGACTCATCCATAAGCTTATCCATTGCCTTTTGGGGTTGTGTACTATAGAAGGCACAGGTTCTCATGAGGCTATTGGTGGGGCAAAGGTGGCATTCTGCATTTGTCCTGTGCAAATAGGAACCATGTACTTGCCAGTAAGTCTGCAGTTGGCATTATATAATAGTTGTGAATTCATTTTCTGATTCAATAAAGATGCCCTGAGTAATGGCAAGGAAATAAAGACAAAACAAAGAAGGATAATCCATGTCTGCATGTCACTTTGCATGTCTTTTCTCTCATCCCTTGGCTTCTATTTTTGTCTTTTGCAGGGTAAGCTGGTGACCCCAGTTTACAGTTGCAGAAGTTGGGGTTCAGAGATGTTCATGAGGCTTGTTTGCTTCCTTAGCTAGTCAATAGTGTAGTCAAGATTTAAAGCTACATTGTTTATTTTCTTTTGTTTTCTCCTCTATTGAGTATATTATACTGTCTCAAAAATGAGTGGTGGAATTCTCTGGGGCTGAGAGCTTGCAAGTCAACAAAGAATGATAGACAAAAACCAGGCCAGAGTCACTGAGAGGTTGCAAGGTGTTCTATCTTTAAGTTCCAGCTTCTCTCTCTGTCTGTTTCTCTCTCTGTATGCCTGCATTTCTCTCTTTCTGTATGACTGCATGTTACTGTGTCATTTTCATAAAAATAGTGTTCCTTAATACTTTTTCTCTTTTTTCTCCGATGAGGTTGGCACTTAGAAGTGACAGGTACAAAACTCTTTCTTGGTCTAGTTTTGGCAATTTCATGGTTGGAAGGGGAGCATTATGAGATTTGGCAGAAAACTTTGTGACAGCCTTCATGAAGTACTGTGTGTGAACTGGAAGCCTGTCACAGTGAGACATCCACTAATAGGTCTTCAGGATAGAGAAAAACAAGTTGTTATTCTTTAGGAATTCTTTGGAACAAAATGAGGGAAGTGAAGTGAAGACTGACCATAGTCCATTTAATCTTTTTCTCAACTTAGTTTTTAGTACCGGCATAGGATGGTTAAGAGTAAAGTATGCCAGGTACTGGGAGCTTACACCTGTAATCCTAGGTACTCAGGAAGATAAGATCTGAGGATCACAGTTTGAAGCCAGTGCAGGCAGAAAAGTTGATGAGACTCTTATTTCCAATTACCTAGCCAAAAGCCAGTGGTGGAGGTGTTGTTAAAGTGGGTAGAGTGCCAGCCTTGATTATAAAAGCCATGGAGAGCTCAAGGCCCTTGGTTTAAGCCCCAGTACTGGCACACACACACACACACACACACACACACACACACACACACACACACACACACACACAAAGGGGTAAATAAGGATTTTAGAATCATAGAATATTAGCATTAAGAGAGGATTTGGAGTTTATGTTCTTCATGTCTACTAAGTATGGAGCACAAGTTGTTGCTCCTTTACTCTGTGCCCATAAACTAATCATTATCAGCATTCTGCTGAGTCTCACAACATTTTGCAATGTAATTCTTCAGGCAGCTGCTGTCTAGAGGTGAGCGTTGAAATCTTGACTAAAATCTACTTGCCAGCTCAGTTCTACTCCAAGATACTCATTTTATATAAGAACTAAGCTTCTGAGTAATTTTTTTCAATATAACTTGTTGAGTGAATTAGCATCTCAATGTCTCTATAGGATGTTCAGGAGATTAAATTACTTAATATAAAAATAAATTACTTAATATACATAAACTCCTAGAACTAGACTCAGTATAAAGCTAATATTGTATAAAAATGTTACTCCTTTGATGGGTAGTACTGGATGATTGCAAAGGACTTGATCACACTTAAAGAACCTTGGATTACAAGCCACAGGAAAAAGCAAAAATTATAGAGGACTCAGAATTAAAAGGTCTGGATTGGTATTGCAGTATTATTGCTTATTAGTGAGCTATGTAGTCTCTTGAATGAAGCTTTAACTTCTTCCTATATAAAGTGATTATATATTTAACAGTTTTATTGTGGAAGCCAAGTGAGGTAACAGATGCAATGAAAAAAACTGCTTTATAAAGACTAAAGATAAAAAAGGCAGTTCAGTGTAGTTGCTTAGATCTATACCCTAGCTACTTGAGTGACAAAGGACAGAAAGATCATGGTTTGAGGCCAGCATGGGGAAACATTAGTGAGATTGAGATTCCCTCTTAATCAATAAACTAGGAGTGGTGGTGGTTCATGCTTGTGATCTCAGTAACTTGGGAGGCATATTTAGGAGGATCAAAGTTAAAGTCCAGGTTGGCCAAAAAATGTGAGACTCTGTCCAAAAACCTGCTAATGCAAAAAAGAACTGGGGGCATGATGTTAGTGGTAATGCTTCTGTTTAGCAAACCCAACGCCCCGAGTTTATACTTCAGTACTGTGAGAGTTGAGGGGAACTAAAGGCCATCAAGGGCAACGATTGAGAAGAGTGGAATAAGGCAGAGACGATGGAAACCAATGTATATTTGTTCACTGAAGTCTCAATCTCCTTATCTCGAGATTCTTGTTTTGAAAATTCCACTTAATCGATGAACAGAAGCGGATTAGAAAGATGGCCATCAGCTCTCAGGTAGCTATGATAGGTAAAGACTGTTATTGAACTTGAAGAAGGCAGAGTTCTTCAACTCTAGAGGTCTGCCTGGTTCCTATTATACCTGCTTGATGTTCACACAAGGGTGATTGAAAGGTCTAACAGAGAGCTGCCACAACTCTAACCTGCACTTGACTACTGACAGAAATCTGGAATTATCTGATCACAAAGATAGTGTTCAAGTGGTACTTTGCATGTTTAGATAATGAACACTATAATTAACTGTATTTTAGCTGCTACTCAAATTAATTGGACTCAGAAAAAAATTATAAAGGTGGAGATGGTGTAGCAGGTGTCTGAGCTACCAGTTAGAAGCTGAGGTTTGTATTCATATGTGTGTGTGTGTCTGTGAGACTTAAGTAGGGCTGATACAATGTGTGATTCTCTGACATAATGGGAAAGGTGCCCCTGGATTGTGACCTGGGATTTCTCATCCTTCATCTTCTTTAAGCCATTTTGTCTCCCCTGCGGGGACAAGCAATGTTCCAAAGGTGAAATATAACACCTGGACACTGGCAAAAAAGAGAGGCTTTTTGTATTTGTACAGCGATTTATAAGACCTAAAGTCACTCATAATTATAGGAAAATATAGTCTATTTTGAATTCAACGTTGCTACTTTCTAGACAACATATCTGTGC